ATTTCCTAATGTAGCCACACACCTGAAGGTGACAAAGATCCCATTCTCTATCGGTTTTATCCGATGGCTTCTCATTGGTAAACACGAGCAAATAATAATCCTTCACATACAGGAGATCTTCCATCTTCCCTTTCCACACATGGTAATTGGACCCATTCAAGGTAACCATCCGGCTTGTGTTAGTCTCCATGATTTAGACAAGGTGCACGAACGAACCTTGCTCTTGATACCACTTTGTTGGGGTTAAAGCCACCAAATACAACGATGACTATAACCCAATAATAAGCACCAAGTCCAATCAACAACAACAATAACCAAAAGCAATAGCAACCAAACGATGATCAAGCAAGCAATAAAATGACACAAGATTTTTAGCATGGAAAACCCCAAATTGGGTAAAAACCACGGGACCCGTAGGCCGCTTAAATCATCCACTATATCAATATGATAATGGGTACAACCTAAATCCTCTCTAGATCACCAAAGGCAAACAACAATCTTCAAGATCACAACACAAGATCTTGGCAAACTACAAGAAACAAACCAAAATATCTCCTTCACTTCACATACAAACAGACAGCCCAAATGTCCTCCAAATCCGATCTCCACCGTTCAAAACGAAGACTACGAAGTCATGAACCTGCTGTCAAAATTTGGTGACAATCCAACGATGCAATCGCCGGCAATCGACGATTTACTGGGACTGGGCAGTGCAGATGCGAAAAAGGAAAAAGGAAGTGGTTTGAACTTGTTTCTATCACACGGTTTTTCTGTCTCGTGCGCTCTGCTGCTTGAAAACCTGCTTTTTTATTATTATTATTTTATTTTGAGATGACAATGGGCTTTGGCTCTTATTTAGTCCAAGCCCACAATTGGGTCGGACTCAACAATCTCCTTCCCTCGTGCTCTCTCGTTATTCGCGACCACCCTCTCCTTTATGAGTGTAGCATGAGTTTTTTTTTGTTATCTAGCAAGAGAATGAGACTTCCCACATGGTGTACTTATAGGCTACAACACATACCATAATAAGGAGGTTAGGTTTAGGTCTCCTAATAGGAAGAGAAATATTTGAGTTATGGTTCATCCTATCACTAATCATATTAATAATAAGTCAGGTACCAATGAATTATTAGTGCACTATCTTTTTTAAACCCAAATTACTCGGGCTCGACTATTTATCTCACCATGTTTAAGATGTCGTATGTTCATTAATTAATTTAATTACTGAAAATTCTATTTAAGATAGTAATTAAATTTTTTGAAACCCAAATTAACTTCTTGATTTTTTGAAACTAGTAGCACTCAACATTTTTATCGTGATATAACTCAATCCACCTGCAGTACTTAATGTTTGTCCTATTTTTGTTGTTATTTTCGATATTGATTTTCCTTTATTTTTTTTTCTCTATTTTAGGTTTGTTTTAGGTTTCTCAGTCCACCAGATCGTTTCTCGTTTATTTTATTTTATGTTAGTTTTTCTGCTTTTTCTCTTGTTTTTCTTGTCTTTAGAGGTGTGCAGGCTTAGAACTTCGACCAGGTGTTTAGAAATTCAACAAACCTTAGGAGAAAGTGGTCATCCTTGTGGCGCAAGTACATTTATGTAGAAGGGTTCATTGGCGACGACTAGAACAAAAATGAAACTCAATTCCGAGTCCAGATGAGCACGTACGAGCCCGTGGTACGCAGCCGCGTACAACATCTGCGCCCCGCGATCGTCTCGCGACCCGCAACACGTGACCACCAGAGTCTGCGATCTGCGGAATGCGACCAGTTTTTGAAATTTGAGTTTTCAAACCATTTATTTAGGGAAATTTATTGGGATTACTGCCCAGAACAAAAAAGAACACTTCCACTTCATTTTTCTTCAGTTTTTCTCCCTTAGAAACAATTTTGGTTCTTGGAGGGTGACACTCCAAGAATCAATTGTCAATAGTTTCTTAGGTTAGTTCTTCACTTTTTCTTTTCTCCCATGCTTGCATTATTGGATACAAAGATATTGGGATCGAACTCTTGCAAGCCATAATCTGATTGTAAGTTCTTAATTCTATTTTATTATTGTTTATTGGGTTTATGTTCTTCAATCTGAATAACTTGAAAATCAATCCAAGTATGAGGTAATTCATTCACCTAGAGTTAGGCATTTGATTATTGTTCTTAATTGTGTTGAATGTATATTGTTCAATCTATGCAAGTTTCTCGATTGTTATGGTTATTTGACTTTTCACTTGCTAGGAAAATAACTTTTAGAACCAAAAGGGGAAGATTTGTGGAACCTAGGCTCGTATGAGATGAACATGTTCTTCTAATCGAAACAAACAACTTTTTGAATCGAGAGGGGATGAGTTGTTTGACCATGTCGAGTAGACTTGTACGTAAAAGTATTGTATATGTGTTACTTGATTGAATGAGTTTTTCGTTTATGTGTGTGCTCCTGTTACAAAAGGTTATTGAGGATAAACCTCTAGACGTTTAGGCTTGATGAATCACGTAATCGAACAAATGAGCGTTCAATATAGTGTAAGACTTGGTGAGATTTTCCAACCCCTAGAACTTATTTTTTTCCTCTCTAGTCGTGATTTATTTACTTTTCTAGTTCTAGTTAGTTTTGGTTAATTCACCAAATCAATCATGATTAGAGTGTTTTGGAATTATTTTCTTTTCGTGTGTGATCTACACCAATTTTAGATTCCGATCCGCCTTCCTCCAAAGATCGACATGATTCATTTTGTACTCAGTAATAAAACATGATTTGCTACAACAAGTTTGGTGCCGTTGCTGGGGAAGGCAAGTAGAATATTTAGTTTTGGTGTCGATACATTTTCTTGTGTTTCTCTTTATTTTGCTATTCTTTTGTGTTTGTATTCTTTTTCTTATGTTTTTGGCCTTTTTCTTTGTTTTTCTTTCTTGTCTGTCTTCGTGACTTTGTGTGGTTATTTTGTTCTTATGTGCAGGGCATTTGACAGAAGAGCTCAATGAACTCTGGCTGCTCAGTAGCATTCTTGTATGCTCGCTCTTGGAATAATGGGCAGAGCTACGGTTCCTGGGACTATGACCAGGCATGTTCATATCTTTACGAGAAGCAGTGGGATCCAGTACCGGTTGAGCTATCTTATGAGTCTCGTGAGGATTCCTCAGAGTAAAATGCAAAGCTTGATCAGATTCTCGCTATTATGATATCCCAAGCAGCTCGAAGGAAAAATCTTGATGCTGGAATCGAGATCCTAGTGAGCACATTCAAGCTATAGAGGATCAAGTTTACAATTCCTCTCCCGAGCCCACTGCGTAGAGTTTATCTACGTGTAAGAATGAACACCGGGAGGACAATCTGACTTATGATGAAAAACTCGATCTTATTCTTGCTTTCATGTCTGCCCAAGTGACTCGAAAGGAGTAGATGGAGGCTAGATGTACATGGTTGAGTGCTCAAGTGGAGAACCTAGCAGAACGAATGCAATTCATTGAGACCCTAGACATTGATGCAAAGGAAATGCACATGGGCGAGCTTGATGAAGAGGAAGATGTGGTCCCACATGTCGCATGTGATGCCCCGATAGAGGAGATTCATGAGGGCGATAGAGAAGTCATTGAGTTTAAATTCTCTCATGTTTCCTCTTCCACTACCGAGTTGGAGAGTTCATCTTTGAGCCGTCACCATGTGCTACTACGTGGGCCGAGTTTAGATCGACTTGCTCCACAGACACATTTATATTTCCCGAGGTTGACTATAGAGCTTGGGTAAAAAAAATCTCTCTATAGTCACTCCTGCTTCTTCAAGAACATAGCCTTCCGGACCCACCGTGCCTGTCTTCATGTCACACTTCCTATGCTGCCACAACTAGAGAATACAAAGGCGTGGCACAATCATCACTTCTTTTTGTACCCCCGGCTGATTTTCACGTGAGTTTCGTCAAACTAAGGACACTAAACAGGCGTTTCTTGAGAGAGAACCCAAGTTTTATTTATTTATTTTTTTAGTTATTTTCTTTTATGCTTTTTGAAGTTTTCTTTTGAATAAATTGTGTTCTGGTGTTTTGTGCCTTTGATGGAAGGGACGAGTTCACGAGCTAGAGCGTGGGAATTGAGTTGCACATAACGTATAGCTCGATGTCCTGGGTTGCGCGTGGGCGAGCGGCTTGCTCATGGTTAATTATTCTCGAGGCCGCCTCCTCCATCACATTTAATCTTGGGTTTGCATTTTCTACTCATTTTATCATTTCTGAGTTTGTGTCTCCCTTGTTATTTTTATTTCGAGTTTTGTGTTCTTGTGTTCGGTGCTAGCACTTGTTCATGATATGAAATTGCAAGGTTCTTTTAATTTACTTCCCGGTTATTCGTTGAAGCAATGAGGACATTGTCACATTTTAAGTATGGGGGAAGCTTACTTGGATTTCGCATGCTTATATCATGGATCACTCTAGTAGTTCTAGGTTTCATTTTTCTCTTTATTCCAGTTTACTTGGTGGACCGGTCTAGTTTTTAAGTTTTTGTGTTTATCGAGTATGGACTGTGGTGAATAGTATGATTTGTTGATAATTGTTTGAGGGAATTGAGGAGTTGTGATGGTGACATGGGTAGTATGTCTTGATAAATTGCTTGGTAGCTTTGATTGATAATTATATATACCTTGAGAGGTTTGATCCTTATATTTTTGTTGTGAGATATTGGTCGTATTCTTGTTTTATCAGAATTTGCGTCGAGTCCGTCTTGCAATAAATTGATTGGAGTTATGATATGTGAAAATGATTGATTCTTTGTTTTTTTTTTTGCACTTTTCTGATCCTTGTCTTCTCCGAAAAATACCTTCACTAGTCACCCCTTTTGAGCCTTGTTATTTTTATTAATAACCTCGTGATGATGATATATATAGAGTCGCGGAGTTATAGAAATGGAGGTGATGAGTTTTGTGATGTTCGGAGTTGTGGATTTGATATTTTGTTTGTAAAAAAAAAATCATAGGAACCATATGGATTATACTCCAAGTGCCTCGACTGCTAATTATATTAGTTTCGAGTAATGACTATGGGAAACTGGTCTAGGAGACTCGGGAAAAAACCCCAAAAGCTATACCTAGATAAAATGTCCAAAAAGTTTCCACCAAAAAAAAAAAAGTAAACAAAACAAAACGAAAAAGAAGAAAAATTATAATTCGTTGGGGAAAGTGTTAGACTTGGAGAGTGTAGGAAAGAGTCGGTTAGTTTGAACAACCAGAGAAGCATATGATTATGGTTAGGTGTTTGAGATCAGATGTTACATATTTCATCCACTTAGCCTATACTTATCTTACCCGGTCCAAATAACCTAGGCTATAACCCGGAAAGTCCTTTTAATTCATTAGTTCATGACTTTGATTGTTTTAGAGAGCTTGGTAAATCTAGTCTAAGTGAATTTCGATCTTAATGTTGATATTTTATGAGTGTGTTTGTAAGCAGGATAAGTTGGTTTATAACTTTTTTTATTAGCTTATAAGTTTTTTTTGTACTCAAATAATTTTGGTTTGATAAATAAACTTTTATTAAAAACTCGGGCTTATCTAATTAGCTCTCTCTTGAGTAATTTTTCAAATAAGCCTATTGAAATTTTTATTTCATCTTACTTATCAGTTAATTATACCAACAATTTATCATATCACTTAATTTTTTAACTATAAGACATAAGCTATTAGTTATAATTTTAAAATTCACTTATAATTTATCAACTAAATAATTTTAAAATATCTCTTATAATTTATATCCGATGACTCCATAGAATTACTGTACTAATAAGAAGGATATGGTGTTCAAATATCATACATTTTGACATGTAAGTGATTGATAGATACATCTTGATGAATTCTACACCAAACATTCCACTACCCACTTTTAAGAAGATAAATGGTATGGAGTATCTCCGAAGTGCAGCACAAAATCCCGTATCTGAACACCTGCCAGCCAATATAGGCAAAGCCAACTTTACAATAAACCATAATAAATAAAAATACCCTCCAAAAGAGAAGTAAGTCGTGATTATTAAATAATTATAAAATCAGAAATTCAGGACACATATTGCAAAAATACCCCCCACATCATCGTATTCGCAGTCAGCGACTTTTCAAATGTTAGTTGAACAAAACTAAAATAAATATTCTCTCCCATTTTTCTCTCTCCTCTCACACTGCTTAAAAGACTATCCAAACACAAAATGTCATTCCCATTCCTAACCTTACTCAACTTCCCTTCCTCAAAGCTCTTTGACCACATTTTCATTTTTTCTCTCACTTCACACATGACTGCCCGTTCGCGCCACCTGGCCGGCGTAGCCTCGCCTTCGCCGACGGCCGCACCGCCGCCGCCTGGGTTGAAGAAGGCGCCGGCCGCCGTGGAGACCCTCAACTCCGACTTCGTGGTGATCCTTGCGGCCTTCCTCTGCGCCCTCATCTGCGTCCTCGGCCTCGTCATCGTCTCCCGCTGCACCTGGATCCGCCGCATTTGCGGCGGCCGGTCGCCGGAGCCGGCGGTTCCGGAGGCCGCCAACAAGGGCCTGAAGAAGAAGGTCCTGAAGTCCCTTCCGACGATGACCCTGGGAGAGGGCGAGCTCGCCGACCGGCCGGCGAAGCTCGCCGACTGCGCCATCTGTCTAGCGGAGTTCGCCGCCGGCGAGGAGATCCGGGTGCTGCCCCAGTGCGGCCACGCCTTCCATGTGGCGTGCATCGACACGTGGCTGGGTTCCCACTCGTCGTGCCCCTCCTGCCGCGCGATTCTGGTGGTGGCGCGGTGCAAGAAGTGCGGGAACGTGCCAGCGGCCGATTCCGCCACCGCCGGAGATCGGCCGGAGGAGAGTGAGAGCCGTGTGGATAGCTTTCTGCCTTGAATTTCGCTTTATTTTGTGTTGTGTGCGTGATTTAGGAATTAGGTCAGGAATCAGGATAGGGATCTCAAACTGAAAGGGATTGTAAGAAATTACGGACACAAATTACATTACAATTACAATTACATTACGAGGTCCTCGGATTTCTATTTTAAGTTCATTTTTGTTTTGGATTTGGAATTACATTTTGCAACCCGAACTGCAAGATTCAATTTGCTGAATTTTGGTAGGTTTGGTTTTGGGCAAGCGCTTGTTTGAGTTTTTTTAGATTAAAAAAATATATTTCCTCTTATTTTTAATAAATGTCGTTTTGAGAAGTTGCACAATAATTAAAAATATTTTTTTTGCCAATAATAACCCTCATTAACGAGGATAGAGATTGATGTTTTGAGAAAAAATAGAGAGTGAATATAAAAAATATAGTGTATTTATTAATTAGATGAGGGTAATGATGAAAAAATATTTACATAATAACCCAAACGATATTTATTTAACAAATGATCACTTAAGCTAGAATGACAAATAATAAAAATAGAAGGGATATACTCCAGTTGGGGATAAATAAGAGAGGCCTTTTATGCTATTTTATTCTTAATACATACTTGAGTGTTCGGATTTATAATATGAAACATTTTCGTGATACATCAAAAGTTCAAGTATCTGCTATTGTGAGTCTGTGACCTTGAGATGGGCACTAGCTAAGTTGAAATTTAATTAAAACCTTAAGATGTTCGGCTTGATCAAGTTCAGAACATTATAAGAAAATGTGTTATTAGCCGAGGAAAGTACAACAGAATTTATTTAACACACAATTTTCCTATCTTTTACCTACAAAAGTTTTGTTGACCATAAGTAAACATATTATTTGCGGTTTTATCGTAATGGGGCCATCAACTAAGCCACCTTTGTTGAATTTATAGTGAGAACTCAACCTTTGGATTAGTAACATATCAAATCATGCATATAATATATAGTGGCTGGAGTGAGAATATTCCAAATTGAAGAAACTAATTGGACAAAATAAGTCGGGACCCATAATTTGTTTATATATAATATACATCTTTGGACTTGTACCAATCTTTAATCATGTGCTCTCAATTATTGCTCTGAAATGTCTCCTCGAATAAAAAGGGACTACTTTATATCACCTATATTACCTAATTTTTTTGGTACGGTTAATCAATTAAGGATGTTTAAATGTATCGTCTCGCCATATATATTAAAAATTTGGATGAAAATTATGCTTCCTTTGTAATTAGTTGCTCCATGTTGTTAGGTTACTAGCAAACATGGAATAAAAGCCAATTTGAAGGTGCGGGAGTTGGTGTCATGTTGGGGGTGAATCGTTCTGGGGCTAGGTTTGGGGCTCGGGTACTACTGCTTGTATAGGCATTTTTGCAGTTTCGATAGTAGTGCCTGGGCTGGAGATTTTCGTTGGATTGATTGATCTCTGGGGGCCGAGCTCGTTGGTCGGTTGGGGAAGGGCTTGAATGTGGTAGTTTAGTTATTTTATTTTCTGTTTTTTCGTAGGATTGTGTTGTTTCGGTCTTGTGTTTTGGTTTGGGTCATTGGCCCCTGTGAGCCCGAGTGTCTACTTATTATCCTGTTGGGATCGGTTATTCGGGTATTACCCTATTAGGGTCTTTTTAATTTCTTAGTGTTTTTGTGTGTTCGTGAGTATTACCCCGTTGGGGTCGGCTCTAAGCGGTCTTTCGACTGTCTTCAATTTATTCAGTTGTTGGTTGTCTGTATTCAACTGTTGGTTATGTGTATTCAGCTGGTGGCTGTACTTTTGCACATTTGTACCATTTTATATAAAACTTCTATCGTTTGGGCAAAAAAAAAAAAATCTTTCTTCCTCATAATAAGTACTAGTACAATACCCGTGTAAATGCACGGGTGTTGAATTAAGAAGCATATGAAAAAAAATATTAATTTTTTTTAAAACTAAAATAATTTAATTTTATATAAAACATTACTTTGGGTTTTTTTTTTTGACAAATTATATTTCTTTTAATCATAATAATTAAACACTCATACATTAAATGAAAATGTCAACTCATATTGAATTTTTTTTACTTATATCATAATAAAATTATCGATATTATTTACTATTATTAAGTAAAAAAATATATATCTTAAATAAATAGAAATAATATGGTGATATGTATATGCATAAGTGCAGAAATATGTTTGTTTAATATTAAGTAAAATAGATTAATTTGTTACTTAATTAGATTCTTAATAAATCAAGTGTAGTATCCGTTGTACTTCACAGTTTTCTAACTTTATATGTAATTTTAGAATTTAGATAAATAATTATTTATTTTTATTAGATTAATAACATACCAATTAGATTTGAAATAAATATCATTTTCAAAAGAATACATACTAATTTCTATTACTTTATAAAATAACTTATAGTTTTATTTGATATCTTTTAATTTAGTTTGATAAATAAACTTAAATTTTATTTATAAGAATATATATTACTATTTTTTATTATATATATATATATATAATATGGATGTCAAATTGAAAATTGTTAAAATATAGTTAATTTGATATATGATATATAAAAAATAAAATACAAATAAAAAGTTATAAAATTTTAAAATAAAAAGAAGAAACATTTATATAACTAATGAATGAATTAAATAAGAAAATGAAATGTAATGTATGGTAATATAGGAAAAAGAAATATAAAATAATTTATGATAACTAATTGTAGAAGTAAAGAAGGAAAAAATCAATCATGGATTTAGTGTGATAAAAAATATTAATTTATATCCAAACCTAACTCCAAAGCATGGTTTTTTGCCAAATAGGATTCCGAAGCATGAGAGTTTGTCATGTAAGCTCAACCTATTCTTAAATTATATATAGAGGGGATTATATATACTAGTATGGCACACCCATATTACATAGGTGCTAATTAAAAAAGTGATATTATATTTTAAAAAAAAATGAAATAAATAGGTATTTTCTTTCATTGTTAAATATTTTTTAAAAAATATCTTATTATTTATATTTAATATGCCACTATTCACTTATACAATTTATCAGTATTATATTATAATCTTTTTTCTAACTCCGTATCATATAACTTTTTTTATAGATAATTTTTGTAATTGATATTTGATTTAATTATTTTTCAATCCGTATTAATAGATAATTCAATTATTATAATAAAGATAAATTAATTTATTCATTTATTATACATGCATATGTGTACGAAATTGAAGCACGTCAATAGTTGATTAATTTAATATATCATACATGAAAAACTCATAATAAATATAAAATTTATTAACTTTTAAAATATAATTATAGTTTAAATTCAGAGCCGGCTTTTGGGGGGAGCAGGGTGAGCAACTGCACAGGGCCCCCAATTAATTGGGGCCCCATATATAAATATTAAAATATTATATATATATAATAATATAAATAAAAAATATAATAATATATTAAATGACATTCATGTTAGAACATTAATCTTGTTTTTGTTGTATTTTGTGGTACGAGGATATCTTGTTTTAGTTGTATCGTTAAATATTTATATTTTATTAATAAAATATTAAAAATATATTATTCAATATTGTAATTAGGGGGGCCTAATTTTATTTTTCGCTCTGGGCTCAAAAAATATTGGAGACGGCCCTGTTTAAATTAGTAAAATATTATATAAATTTAAAAGCCTAATAAGTACAGATAGAAGTTCACATTTAACTACTTTCGAGCATAAAAAAATGATCCATGATTAAGAAATATAAAAGTTAGACACATGGGTTGAAAAACTCAACACGGGGTTCTTGAGGAGCAGAATACAGGAGACATTTGGATAATAACAATAATAACTCGGTTTCTTAAGTTGCAGACTTGCAGTCAACAATAGACGTATATGAGCGTAACTTGTAGATAAATACAAAAGATGTGAGGTTTAGTTGGAGAAGACATTGCCGTCTATATTGCAATATATGTAAAACATACAGCACATACACGCTACCCCCACGTCTATGCCACCACATTCACAAAATATGTGTGAACTCTAATTAATGAGCCGTCCAATGACGCAATCGCTGGCGTCTATTTCATTTCCCAGCACATAATCCTTTTTATGAAAATTACCGATTAATGTACAAAATTTACAAAATATATCATTTATGATATTAGTTTTCTTTCTTCCTATATCATCAGGGCCGGCCCTGGTCCAGGGCGACCTGGGTCACAACCCAGGGCCCAATTAAAATAAAGGGCACCATTTTCATTGGTTACTGTCTTACGTGAACAGTGTGAGAAAGAGAGAAAGTAATAGTATTTATTATTGTAATATTCATTATTGCCTCTTTATTAGCTCTTTCTCTATTAAGATGTCACTCATTAGTACACATTTTAATTCCCTCACACAGTGCACATTGAATTACATGTATTTTTTAACATAACTTCAGTTTCTCTTTCTTTTCCCTTCATTACATATTATTACACTATCATTCTAGTTACTATTTATTTTATTTATTTAAAAAAACTATTTTATTTATTAATTAATGCTCATTATTTTTAATTTATGGTTACATTTAGGTCATTACGTACTTAGAATTAAGGTCTTATACAAAATTTGATTAAGAAAATATTAAGATGTGTGTAATATTTATTTAGATTTCATTTTGAAAGGAAAGATAACTTTATCTTGATAAAAAAAAAAAAATCTAAGATCTTACTTATATTTTGGTGGTGTTAGTTTTTTCATGAGTTGTACCACACGATCCACACTTTTGATATATTATAAAAATTCTATATTTTTTAGATAACAATTGTTGGAACATCAATATTATATAAATTCTTTATTTGAGAAAAAAAAATATTTAGGGCACTATTCTTGTGTTTTGCCCAGTGCCTTATAATGCGTAGGACCGACTCTGTATATCATTAAACTAAATTTAAAATATAGATTAATGATTATTTTGCTACGTCAATAATAATATTTATCGCTAATATATATTTAACAAACAATCACATCTAATTTATATTTTTTAATTAATTTCAATCATTACATTTAAATTATACTTACATTTATAATATAAATTTTACTTTCAAAAATTTCTACACTCAATCACCCGTCTCGGTTTTCTCTTGTTTGGAGTCAGATGATTATCGGTTTCCGGTTAGGGTTTCTTCTCTTGGGAGTATTCCGATGATTACCGGTTTTCGGTTGTAACTGGTTTCTTCACTTTCCTTGACTTGTGTTCTCATTCCCGTTGCCTCATCTTTTCCTTGGTCTTTCTTATCTGAACCCCAATATTCTATCTCAACTCATCGTATCCATCTTCTGTGCCACGATGCAAGACGATCTTGCTGACCGACTTCACAAATTCTCCCTTTCTCAAAGAGGAGAATATAATCGATCTAGAAAACACTGATATCCGCTATAGTGCAGAGGAGTGCAAGAAAAGCCTATTTGGCAAGGTGGTCGGAGACAGAAAAGCACACATGTTCGGACTTAAGCGCACTATGTCTCAAGTCTGGCAACTCAAACACCCTCTTACAGTACGCGAATTAGAGCCCAATTTCTTCCAATTTCTCTTTGACTCAGAGCTTGAAAAGAAGAAGGTCGCTTCAGGCGGAAACTGGTCTT